GCAGGGATGAAGGGATATGGGGATGAAGGAACAAGGGGATGGAGGATTGGAGGGATTTGGTGGTGGAGGGAATCAGATGCAGGGATGTGGGGATGGAGGAATGGAGGCATTTGGAAGTGGAGGGATGCAGGGATGGAGGAATGAATGGATGTGGGGATGCAGGAAGCCCTGCACTGGGGTGATAAGAGCACAGTGCAGTTGTGTGTGAAGCTTATCTGCATTTCAGCAGTTTCAAGGGATTTGTTTTGGTTTCTTTCCCCCAGACTTTCTGAGATATTTTGAAGTGACCAGAAGTTTCCTCTCTGGAAGCCCCTCACCCCTATTGTGCTGGCAGCCATTCACTGCAGATCACCATGAGAAACCTCTTTTCAGGAGGGAGCTGGACGCTGCGGCCGATCAATCAGTCAATCAATCATGCAGTCAATCCATCACCTCGCTTACAGCCCGAGACAGGCCAGAGAATACCCATGCAGGGCTGAATTCATTCCTCATTTGGATGGGTACAAAGCTGGAGACCCCTGGGCTGGGCCCAGATTTACACCAGGGTGACTGAGATGACATTTTCTCCCCCCGACTGTGCCGCAGGCAGCTGGGCAGACCTTTATTCCCAGGCTGTGGGATGTGCCTGGCTCTCCACAGGCAGAGCTGACACTCGCTGTTAGAGCTTCCTCGGAGTGAAGTGCTGTGGCTTTTCTCTCCACAAGGTCCCTCTGGCCATGCCCCATCCCCAGACGAGCAGGCAGCTCCCCCTGGCCCTTCGGGAGCCCTTTGGGAAGGAGGTGAGCAGTGCCGGGCCCTGTGCTGGGATCCGGTGCTGCCGATCCCCTGCAGGACCTGTGGGTGCTGACACGAGTGGCAGCACACATTCATGTGCTCACTGAACACCAGTGCTGGGCGATGGCCCAGGTCACTGCTTCCAATCCGAAGCAAAGCTAAGCCTGGCTGCGCTCCTGTCCCTGCTCATTTTCCGAGCAAGCCTCGCGCCCCTCACAGATGTTGTGGAGGCAGCTGGCGGCTCACATGGTGTTGACTCCTTGTTTCCAGCTGCTGCAGCTCGTTAAAAGGAGCTGTGGTACATTTAATCCTTTCCTACTGTCACTCTTGCCTTGAAGCTGTTGCTGCAGTGATGATCACGGTGTTTACGGGGCGGTGAGCAGGGGGACAGTGATGCATGGGCTCTGCTTGGAGTGGAGCTGTGGAGCCGAAAGGGACATTCCCATGGGGATGCAGGGGTACAAGCTAGCTAGGAGGCTGGGAATAAGGAGATTTCTCCCAGCTGCCCGAGCCATGAAATTCAATCACATCTCCTGTACATGTGGTGAGAGCGAGGGATTTATTTAACTCATCTTCTGCCTGTGCCTGGTGAGGGGTTTTGCTGGGGTGATGCAGGTGCTGGTGGCAGCAGATGCCAGGAACCCTTTTTTCTTCTGTGCCTACCTATGGAGATGGGCTGTGAGCCTCTGACCACCCTCTGAAATCTGCATTTTGCCCTTGTGCTGAGGGATGCAGGAGCCCATTCCTGCTGCTCACCCTGCGATTGTCCCTGGAGTGATGGTGTGTACCTGGGAGCAGGGGACTCTCAGAGGGTGGCCTTGTGTCACCTCAGTTCATCTAGGCATGGGAAGGCAAAGATTAAAGCTTCTGACATTCAGACAAAAGAAACACAACCCTTTTTTAGAGTTTTAATACTCTAGCTACCTGCAAATGCTGCTGAAACAGAGGCATTCCAGGTGATCAGGGAGGCCAATTTTCCCCATTCCTGGTTCTTAGGGGGAAGATTCTGGCTAAATTTGGATATCAAAGCATGTACCCACCTCTGCAGCCTGGGAAAGCTGCAACTTGCAGCCAAGCTGTGCACATTGGGGGAGCCCCAGGAATCACCAAGACTGGGGCTTTCCCCCTTTTCTGCACTTGCTTCCAGCCTCTTCCTCACCAGCCGGGAACAAAAGGGCCCAAATGACATTTGGAAAGTCCAGATCTGGTTTTGAAGCTGCAGAGGCTGGTTTCCAGGGGGAAACCACGTGAAGCTGCATCAATCCCATCACCTGGTTTTATTTAAGCCCACTAGCCGAAATCATCCGCCTCAGATAATCATTCCCAAGCCAATCTGGATTTGATTCAGATAAGACAATGGCTGAGTGGCAGGTTTGTAAACCTTTACTCCCCACTGTGATTTTTGTTTGCCCTTCCACTGTGGGCCCTTCTGCATCTCTGAATGGGACCAGGGAAGGACGGGGTGGTAGCACGAGCTCTTCTTGCCTCAAAAAGGCTGAAAAAGTGAGGAGCAGCCCCTCCTCATCCTCCAGTCTCCCAGAATGGGAGAGCATGAATGCATTTCATCTAAACAATTCAGTTTTGGACTGTTTTCCCAAATTGATTGGGACCTCTGAGAGCTAAGCAGAGCCAGGCAGGACCCCCCACGCCAAAGCTGATGTTGTCCCACCCCTTGTACCGTGGCCAGGTTTGGCCCATGGTGTTCTGCAATGTGCCCCTCGTTGGCTGGGAGGGCAGTGATGCTCACTCAGCTCTTGGCCAGGGTGGTGCTTTGTGTCCTGTGTAGCTTCGAGCAAAGGAAATAAAGCAGCATCTCTCCCAGAACTGGCTGCATCCAAAACCTCCCACTAATTGCTTTCTCCATCTCTGTAACCCCTTTGCTCCCACAGCCTGGGAGCTCTGGCTTGAAGACACATTGATTTAAGGATTTGTTAAAACCCCCCACGAAGTTCAGCAGAATTCTGCAGGGTGGTGTAGGGGGGTGAGGATTGCCAAGACACAGCACTGTCAGATGCTCCCCCTCGAGGGGAAGGGATGAAATATGGAGGGTTCAAGCTCCTTGGACAAAACAGGGCTTAAAAAGTCCAATAAAGTCACTGTGAGTAGAATTAGGATGGGATGCTGGGCCCATCAGATTGCTCAGCTTGGCTCAGCTTTCATGAGGAGGCAGGACAAGTGGCTCCTGGTGAGATGGATTGGTCTTTGGTCATTCCTCTGGGCAGGGAGTGGGGAGATCCAGCCCTCCAGTGGCACAGGGATCCAAGAGGTGCTGTCAAGTCATTGCTCATGGCTCGCAGGCTGTCAGGATGCCCCCATGGATAACCTTTTCCCAGCCTCCAGCAAGGGTTCCTCTGCTGAAGGGAGGTGTCTGTAACCCTGCTGAGATGTTCTCAGTTACTGGCTTTATGGTAACTCCGTTGGGCTTGGGCCACTAAATAACCCCTCTCCCCACAACAAGGATGCAGCTGTGGGACTCAGTCCTTCCCCAGTGGAGCTGTTTGCTCCCAGGGGCTGTGGGGGCTCAGGCCCAGGGGGTGCAGCCCTGACAGCTCAGGGTGGGCATTGACAAGGGCTGTGGCCAATCAGGGTGGCACGTGGGGATTTGGGATGGCCAAATGCAGCTGCCCCAGCTGGCATTTGCTCAGGGCAGTGGGGGAGTTCACGGAAGGAGTTGTTTCCCTGCTGTGTTGGTATCTGCATGGAGCCCACAGGTGGCCAAGGTGGGGACATCCCCATACCAAGTCCCCTTACAGCCAGGACAAGGCAGAGGGGCGAACAGGAGCTTGGGGAGGGACCCTGTGTGGCTGAAAGAAGATGGTGAGCTGCACTATAACATGTGATCAAGCTCCTGAGGATCTGGGGAAGACGATTTCTCCTGATGGAGTTGGGTAACAGAGGCTGGTAATGCCAGGAAACAGTGCTCTAAGAGAAGACTGGCTCCTGCTTGGCTTCAGGTTAAGTGAGATGGTCCCTGTTCCTAATAACCCAACACCTTGCTTTGTATGGACTCCCCAAAGAACACACCTCATGTTGGCACCCAATGCCTAAGGCAGAGCAGCCAGAGGGCTGCTCAGCAGGGCTGGGCTGGAGGGAGGCTGCCTGGGGCAGCCCTTGCTGTATTTTCAGGCTCCTTCCAGCCCTGCAGCTCAGAGGGAACACTTTCAGAAGCACACAGGAGACAACAGGCACAACCCAAGGCTGGGAGATCATTCTTGCCCAGAACAACCTGATACTGAAACACAGAGTTGCTGCTTCTGCATTTACGTGTAGCAGGAGTTGCCCTTTAAATCAGTCCCACAGAACACCCTGGGATTTACCTTGTCGTGACACTGGGGACCTAAGACCTTGTCCCTTTGCTCCCTGGGTTCCCCACCCTGGGAGAGCTCCTGAGCACACAGCAACACACACAGCCTGTGTAACAATCCTTGCCACGGGACGAGCCTCGGCTCAGAGTTCAATCCAAGGTGACGTCCATCACTTTTAGTACAAACTCCTTAATTTATGAACCCTCCTACACTGCTGAGGCAAAAGTAAACAGCCTTTACACCTCGTGTCCTTCACAGCTATGGCACTGTAAAAATGCCCCAGGAACCTGCAGGCAGTGGGACAAGTCACCCTTTCCCGGGACTCTCTGGCTCCTGCCATCATCCCCTGCTCATACCCGGACATGAGACACTGTTGTAACACCCACAGGTCACATCAGCACCTCAGAGTGCTTGGCACAAGGGATGCACAGATCTAGGAATATAAGAGGAATGCTCCTATGCAGCAGTAAGCAGTGTTTAGGTATTTTTTTCCTTTTTGGAGCATTTTTGGTTCTCCAGTCCTTCTCCACCAGAAAAACTCCTTGGAACTGTTCTCAACCTTTTGAGAAGGTAACCACGAAGCTTTATAATCAACCAGTGGTGGTATCGAATCCTTACCTCTTTTCCATCAAGTGTTGGTTCCACATTGAGTGGAGCCACACATTGGGTTCCACCCTGTGTGCTTATGGATTTAGAACGTCCAGAAAAACCTCTCTCCACCTTCCTACACTCCCACATGCTCCGAGGAACACCCGTCTCTCAGGATGCTGCACAGCTGTTTCCAACACTTGGGCGTAAAAGGAACCCACTTGTCCCAGTACAAACACCAGAATTTATGTATTTGATGCAATTTCATTTGAGGGAGGGGGCTGCTTAGAAGACTTTTAGCATTAAAGTGCTTCAAAAGAAGAGAGAACGTACCTGCAGGCTCCTCCGTGCTGCTGGCGGCCGTGGTGGGGGGCGCGGCGGGGATCTCTGTGCAGGACAGCGAGGAGACACGGATAGAAGGGAGATAAAAGAAGGAGGAATTATTCCAAATCCCAAAGAGCCTGGCCCCTGCACACACTGCATGTTCCCTCCCCAGCTGTGTCTACCAGCACGGAGGGTTTCCCAACTGTGTCCTCCAGCAAGGAGCGTTGCAAGAGCCCCAGAGAGCAGCGCACCAGGACCATACCTACTGGGGAGTCAGGCCTCCCTAGAGGGTGTGGGAAAGGGGTTTTGGAACAAAATATCTTGGCTTGTGGCTGCAGGCTGCACTGTGCCCAGGCCCTGCAGGCAGTGGGAGTGCTGCTGCCGCTCCCTGTCCCAGGGTTGTCCCTTCCAGCTGCTGTCTCCACCCGTGTCTGAGGCAGTGTGAGCACTCCTCTCCTGTGAGATAGGCTGCAGGTAAAGCATTGCCTCTCCCTGCAGGGATGCAAGTGTTACCTCACACATTTAATGGAAACACAAACATTTCTGGTCCCTGGTTTTGATTCGGGACCAGCCTTGCAGAGCAAAAACCACATAATGTTTGGGATGTTCATGCCCCAGCCTGGCTGTGTTTGTTGAAGTTAAAATGATGGGCTGTGGATGGAGGGGCGGCCCCAGCTCTGCAGGATGCTCTCCTTTCCCAGAGCACACACATAGCTCTCATCACAGACATCCTTCACACATTCAGGGCATGGTGATGCAATTTCTGTGCATTCCTGGTAATCCTGGTGGGGGAACTCCCTACCAGCCCAGTTTGAAAGTGGAACTTAGGCACGAGCTGGGGGTCAGCATTTGCCTCCTTCTGCTTGTGCTCTTGGGAACACATCTGGCCACGAAGGCAGGGTTTGCTGGGGCCAGTCTGCATTGTGGTGACAGCAGCTCATAGGGGTGCAGCCCAATTAGCATTAGGTGATTTTTTGAAGTCGTTCACCCTCATGCAATTAAACACAGGCATAGTCCATGTGAAAGACATGGTTCATAATCAGGCAGCAAATGGACAGCCATCCCAGCCATCCCAAAAGACTGGATGGGTGCTCCTGCTTGCAGTACAGACAGACAAGGAAAATATAAGCAGTGGTAAATCAGAGAGTAACTGTGCCCTTGCAGGCAAGGTGGCAGCCCCTTGCTAGTGGCAGTGAGCCCGTGCCAGTGGGAGAGCAGTGTGGGCAGGGATGGAGCCCTCTACTACACACGATCCAAATATGTGTGAACTCCATCTCCTCCCACGTGTAGGATATGCTGACTGACATTTTTCAAGGATGAAAATGTGCTGGTTTGGGTTTTTCTGGGATGAGGGAACTGTGAGTTGCTCATATCCTCACTTTAATTGCTTTAGTGTCCTGTGTGCAGACCCAGCTCCAAACGAGGAGCCTGACAGCCAGGCCAGAGCCTGGCTTGGAAAGCATTTTTAGCAGAAGCTTTGGCCCCTGGGCAAGGATGTTGTGCAGTGGCACAGAAGTAAGGGGCTCCCATGGGTGCTGGGTGGTGTCAGGTGGCAGGGCCAGGCAGGGCAGCCCTGCCAGGCTCACACCAGCCTTGAGCACGCCGGGTCGGGAGCTGCGTGAGCACAGCCCGGCTCCAAACCCCTGGATGGGTCATGTTGAAATCCTGTGTCTGTCTTTATTTAGTGCAGCAAATCCCAAGGGAGCTGATGCAAGGAGCAATTTACTCTCTGATTTGCCATGGCCCTGGGGAATGACTAATGATAAACCTTTGTGCATACTTGCTGCAGAGCAGACTGGAGCCACGACTGGAGATCTTGGGGAAACAAGCATCTGGTTTGAGCTCTTGCTGTCCCATTGCAACATGGGGAAAAATGAATCTTAAGTGACCAAAACCCACCCCAGAATGCATGTTTTCTTCAGAAGGAGAAGGTGAAGAAAGGGTTTCTGCCCCATAATTTGGCAATGGCCATGCTGAGAGGGAGATGCTGTGAGGGGACAGTGCAGGAGCAGACTGTGGGTTCCCAGCAAAGACTTGATTCATTCAACCTTCACTTTGCTTGTTGGGCCTTTTCCCCCTTTTAGAAGCAGGGAATGACCCTTGAGGGGAGCAGTACCTTCTTCCCATCCCATTCCATCCCAGGCACCCCAATTTTGATGCTTCCTTTCACCAGGGTGGGGGGGAGATGTCTCACAAAGTGCATGAGCCACTGAATGATCCAACAGCAGCAAACCCAACAGGCAGCAGAGAGGGGCACTGGGCTAAAGCCCACCTTGCCTGGGCAGTGAGAGCTCAGCAGGGGCTTAGTGGGGATCTGGGTGTTTGCAGAGCAAATGCTGCAGTGGAGACACTTTGGGAGCTGTACCTGGTGCTCCCTGCTGTTGTTTTAAGAGCAGAGGAGGAGAGCAGCTTTGGGAAGGCAAATTGAAAAGCAAGCCCAAGGAAGCAAATGGTAAAATAGCCCCTCTTTCTAGGAGGGTTGTGTGAGTGCAAGATCCCCTTTAGCAATCCAGGTGCTATCACTGCCTTACTGTGATGGCAACTCCACCAAACCAGCAGCTCCTCTGATTTGAGCTCTGTGTCAGTGCAGCACAACCTGGTTTGGGAGAGAAAATCCTGTTTGTAGCGATCTGCTGTAGCATCCAGACCTGATGTGGAACCCAAAAATAAATGTGCTCTTGAGGCACCTTTGCTCCATGAAGCAAAATCAAATTACCACCAGACTGGTCTGTAACTGCACTCACATAACCCACCCAATGAGGCAGATGAGCTGTTTGGAAGCTAGTGCTGGATTTTGGACTACTTTCCCTCCTGTAGGCAGTGGGGATGGCAGGGGTATCCAGGCAGCTCCATCCCCCGAGCACTGCCCGCTGGCACGGTCGTGAGAGGGTTAAGCAGCCTCCCAGCATGGGCAGTGGCTCCTGCGGGTTTTTAAGGGTTAATATCTCTAATCTACAGACACCGAAAGAATGATCCACCTACTTATGCAGGGCGCGATGGGGGACCGGCTTTGCTGGTAGCCTTTGGCGCATCGGTTGCAGGTGATGCCGGTGACACCGTCCTTGCAGGGACACTGGCCCGTGGTTTGGTTACAGGTTTGGCCGGCGGCACCCACGGGATGGCAATCGCACTCTGTGGGGGGAACACACAACGAGAGGGTCAGGGGAGAGCAGAGCGGCGTTGTGGAGCGATCCCGGCACGGCTCCACCTTTCCTGCCGCCGGCAAACATCCCACCCAGCCGGCGACCGCACTGCCCTGGAACAGAGGGGCATGAACATGAGTGCTGTGATCAGGAGTTTGCAGGACTGGAAGAGGAGGGGAGCAGGCAAAGCAGCATCCACTGCCCTCACTCCAGCAGCTTCAGACGCCCTCAGGTCCCAGGAGCAGTGGCAGGACTGTAAGGAAGAGGGACAAAACCCAGGAGTGTTTCATTGCCCCTTCAGCACGTGAGATCTCAGGCAGGGAGCGAGTGCTCCCAGAGATGTTGGGAATTCACTTCACGTGCGCTACAAGAAAAACCAAGCCAGCCACCCTCCTCCTTTCAGTGCTTTCGATCGAGCCCTTCCCTGCTGGGCAGCATCCCTGGCAGCTGGCACTGAGGGAGCAGGAAGGAAATGCCCTTGTGGGATGCAGGCAGGCTGGAGGACCTGCTGTTCCCGGCCAGATGGATGGAGGCTTGACGGCAGAGCTGGGCAGATGTGAAGGGTTTGGCAGGGGATGTAAATACTGCACTTGAAAACATTCACCATCTCATTTCCCACAGTGGGACTTACCGGCGCAGCTGTTTGGTTAAAAAAAAAAAAAAAAGAAAAAAAGAAAAAAAAAGAAAAAAGAAAAAAGCCAAAAAGGGGAAAAAAAAGAGGGAAAAAAAAAAGCATCAGGGCTTGTTATCATCACTGCTCCAAAAGGATTACGGCCTCGCACATTTGTTAACAGCCCTGATTTCTAAGAGCTGCAAGCACCGTGCCAGACTGTGGTCTGCCCCTGCTGAGCGGTGGCAGGGAGAGGCAGGAAAGCAGGAAAGCTTTCCTTTTCTTCTGCACCATCCTCGGGAAGGAGCCAGCCAAATCCCTCCCAGGGGAGCACTGATCCTGCTCTCCTTCTACCCCTCAGGGGAGCTGCCTGCTAGAAGGGGGGTTTGGGGGAAAATGTGCCCCACTGCCCAAAACCTGGAGGGGGCTGGTCTGTGGGTCAGGACCAGATGAGTGTCTCCTTGGGCTCCAGTGGCTTAAAACACCCCAAATGCCCAAAACTGGGCTTATCACTCCCATGAGGGTTTGTTCTGGACCCTGCAATGATTCTTGGTTTGTCTGGCAACCCCCTGACTCTGAGACACCCTAAATCTGCCTCATTTGGGGACAACAAATCACATCCCACATTCATTTGTGTTGGGTGTCCAAGCTTTGGTGTTTGGCTGGAGCTTCCCTCCAACCCACCCCAGCATGATCCTGCTCCAGCTTCCCTGTACCAGCAGCTCCCAGTTTGACCCCCCTCCCAGCAGGGTTTGGATAGTGCCTCTGGCCTCCTTGCACTAGGATTTCCCCTTCTCCCTATGTGGGACATCCCATCCCTGGACAGCCCTTCCTGCTGCCATCCCTGACTCCACCAGTCTTGGATGGGAAGAGATGAAGCCTTGCCAAAACCCAATGGTTTTTCACATGGGAGGGAAAAAAAAAAAAACCTTCAAGAAGCCAACAAAGCTTTTGCTTCTTTCCTCTACTTATCCTAACACTTCTGATTTGGTTTTTTTGGTTAAGAGTCCTGCTCTCTCCCCTGCTGTGAGCTGTTCCCTGGGAAATAGCTGCTTGCAAACCTGGCCACAGCAGAAAATTTGCTTTTCTAAACTTAATTTTGATTGAAAAAATTTCAACATGAAATGAGTGTGGCTGGTGATGAGTTCAGAGAGCAGAGGGATGTTTAGGTGGTAAAACCTGCACTCTGCAGCCCCAAGGGAAGGCTTTGACAATGCTGGGGGAGAGGAAATAAAAACACATTAAGTGAAAGAGTGAAGAAGAGCCAGGGCAGAAAAGAGTTAAAGAAGAGCAGAGAGCAGGAGTTAATACAAAAATAAGCAAATCAGGGAAGGGTTACACAAGAAGAGGCAAAGGGCAGGAGGATGGGGAGGAACATGCCTCATGTTTCAGGCGTCCCCTCTGGGGCTGAGCGCTGGTTTCAGGCATGGCCTGCAAACCCCCATCCTGTGAGTAATCCTCCCCCACGTGAATGGATTGCACCGATTTCAGTGGGACTGCTTGGATGAGAGAGGGAAAAGCAGGAAAAAAAGCCTTGGTGATGAGTAAGATTTACAGAATCAAGCTCTTGGAGGCCGGGCTGCAGAGCACAGAGCGCTCTTCTGGACACCACATAAATAAATAGCGATGCTGCTGCTTCCTTCCCTCATGAGGTAATGCCTCGGTGCAGCTTGTCCAGAGCTGCTGGGTTATTTTTACAGCCGTGTCTGTCTGAGGTTGTCTCCTCTCTCCCCAGTCTGGGCTCCTGGGAGGGCTCTGCAGCACAAGTGTCACCTGTGTCCCCACAGGCACATGTGGTGTGCCCAAGGTTGCAGAGTAGACAAGTTGTGGAGGAGCTGGGACTCACCAGCTCGTGGTCCAGGACCTCACCAGGACAAAACCCTGGCTGATCTCTGACAACTCATGCTGTCACAGGGTGGGGTAAAACCCCTCTGGGTGTAGGGATGTGCTTTGTGTCACCAGTGCCCAACTTTTGGTTGGGGCACAGGACCCTGCGTGTCCGTGACCACTGCCCTGGGCAGAGCACTCTGGCTCCTCCAGAGCCTGACCCCAGTCTGACTTGTCTGTCTTCCAGAAAACTCTGATTCAGCAGCAACTCAGCCCTCGTGGTGCAGGGAGGCAGGAGGAGGTCTAGGCAGTGTCTGTAGATGTGTATCTGCTGTCCCTGTCCTAGGGAAACTGAACCAGCGCCAGCAATTAGGAGCAATTAAAGGTAATTTGCAGTTCCCTGGCCATTGCAAACACTTGCAGCCAGCAATTACAGGCTCTTCTCCTTCCCCAGCCATGGAGTGGCTGGGCTGCTGGTGCTTGATGCTGATTTTTCGAGTACAGTTCAAATTCCTTTGGGCTGTAACCCCAAATTGAAAAAGGATGGCAGGAGAGTCGCAGTGGGGGTGTGATTGGTGCAAACACCCCTTGGCCATCCCCTTCCTGGTGGGCACCTTGGGACTCACAAAACAGCTTCTCAGGCCTGAACTTCCCTGAGTGCAAGGATCTATCTGTCCATCACCCACAACCATGCAGAGGGTCAGAGTGCCCTGCACTTGGGGCCCCAGGGCTGAGGGAACCTCACTGATCAGGAAAGGAGGGTGTCTGGGACATGGCTGGGGATAATAAGGGGGATAACAGGTGATTTTTCTACTTATCCTCATGCCTTGCTTGAAAGGATCACCCCACAGAGAAGGGTGCAAGGCTGCAGTGAGATGGGAGAGGAGCAAAGAGGAATTATGTTGGTGCAAGGAAACAGGAGGTCTGCAGTCTGTTGGTCCACAGAGCACTGGGGGAAGGAAATAACCATCAGCATTTAGTTCTTTCAGAAAATCTTAAAGAAATACCTTTTTTTTCCTGGCAGAAATGATCAGGAATTTCTAGGGGAAAATGAAATTATTTGCTACTTGAGGACAAGGCTGTGGAGGAGGAAACAAGGAGCAGGAATCTATGGTGAGGTTTTAATGGGCACTGATGGTGGCAGTGGGGGGTGCCTCTACCCATAAAAGCCAATTTTTCTTATAACTTAATCATGGAGTGGAAAGCAGGGAGCTAAAAGCATTTCTAAGTGACTCCCTGCAACTTGGCTAGTCCAGATGTGTTGGTCTTCTGCGAGACAGACCCAAACTGGCCGAATGGATGAGGGGCTAGCAGCCAAAATCCGGTGCACACAGAAGGCTGCATAATTGGAAGGAGGGAACAGGATGGCTCATACACACTGAAGGGTCCCAATTAACTGCAACCACTCCAGGGAAAGATCTGGGAGTCAATGAAACATCTGGCTGATTGCAACGGAGCTCAGAAGAGCCACAAGATGGGAGGCTGTGTTATGAAAGGGGTAGAGAGTGACAGTGAATGTAATATCATGGCACTATAGAAATCAATAGCACGTCCTCAGCTGGGGAACTGCAGTGAAAGGCAGGGAGAGGCACCCATCTGAGGACGGAAAAGATTAGGAATGCCTTGCCAAGAGACGGTGGAGGGGTGCCAAGGAACGCAGAGCGCCGAGAAGGTCAGACAGGTGCTCCTCTTCACTGCTCCTTAAAACACGGGGACAAAGGGACATTCAAGGCGTTTTAAAAGGCAACCTTTTTCAGTGATAAAAGGAAATGCTTCTTTGCACTGCACGTAATTAACTCGTAGAACTCAAGCTACGAGACACCATGGCAAGGGCCCAACAGGATTAGATAGGGCTGTGAATGAGAACATCTGTAGTTACATTAGCTGGGATTAATATATATACGGATATAAGCACTCCAAGCCAGCTACTAACTGCCTGCAGTTAGGAGGAGATTTCCCCTGGGGCCAAGCTCTTGCAGAACTGGCTGTCTTGGAGTTTTATATCTCTGTCTGGAGCTTCCAAGACAAGCCACTATTATATGTACAAACCTGCTGAGGCAGAGCATCACCCACCCCAGCACGGGCAGGGACACATTTCTGTGCCTCACCTGAGGTTTGGGACTAAAAAAAAAATACCTGCAAGCAAATCTTCAGGGCCTTTCATGGAAGGATGCAAAACGCCCTGGGAAAGTGGTTGAGCTTGCCGGGGTGTCTCTGCCTCGCTGAAGGCTGACAAATAGCATGACAAAAGTGCAAATATTTTTCCTGCCCTGAATTTTGGTCGGAGGTATTCCCAGCTGCTAATCTTCCCACACACACATGTGTTGAAAGGTAAACAGAGGGATAAATCTCCAGGCTTAGCTCTCCTCAAGTGTGACCTTTATTGAGAAGGTACCTGAAAAGACCTGCATTTTTGGAGAATTAACATCTTCCTGTTTTCAGGGAAGCTGTGTCTTTGGGAGGCTTTCAAAATGATGAAAAATCTTTTTGACTGAGAAAAAGGCTGGATTTTACAAGGTGTGCAGATTTCCTCTTGTCACACTGGATCTGCC